AGCAAATAAAGCCAGCGGGAGAGAGATATGCAGATAGATTGAAGAGGTAGATAATTGAGTCAAGCGAACCGTAGGCACCATAAGTAAATTGTGTGAATCACTGTGATTTATAGCGTGTGTTATAAAGGTTGTTAAGTTAAAGTGACTGTGGAAATTCTGTGTACTAAAAAGTTGTATCAAGAAAGAATAAACTAGTTTCAATTAAGAAAGGGCTTGTATCGCTGAAGTTCCTGGGAAATAATTTATACTGGTGTCACGACAGCGGTAGTCACGTGACGCTGGTAACACGTCATGGGTTTCTAGAAGGATCATGACTGTTCCCGGCAACTCTAGTCTTTTCTACGTGCCCTCTATTTTAGTATATAAGCTGGCAAATAAGGTGACGGCATAGATAAATTGCAGATAGACAGATAATTGAGTCAAGTGAGCGGTAGTGACCGTAAGTAAAGTGTGTGAATCATTGTGCATTATAGCGTGTGTTGAAGTTAAAGTGACCGTGGAAATTTGTATTGCAAAGTTGTATTGATAAAGAATAAACTAGTTTTATTTAAGAAAAACTTGTATCGCTGAAGTTCCTTGAGAAGAATTTATACCAGGAAATTAACAAACGACCAGAGACATAACAAATTGGGGTCAGAAATGGGATGGAAAAAAATGGAAACGAGAAGTGGCAAGAAAACCTGCAACAATGGCAGCTCGACAGCAAAATAAACAAAAGAGATTACAGCAGTTGTTGGAGAAAAAACAAAAGAAACAAGAAGAACAAGAAAATAAAAAAGAAGAGAAACTACAGCAGTGGAAACTGGAACAAGAAAGGAAACAAGAAGTACAAATGGAAAAGCTTAGTAAATGTCAAAGTGAATTAAATACATTAAAGGATGATTTACTGTCTTTTACACAAGGAAGATATATTAGCCATCAACCTAATCAGCCCCTTCTAGGTCCCGCAGTTAAACTCTAATGGAAACATCTTCAGTCCTGCCAGAAGTCACATTCCAGACATGGGTGTCAACAATAGGGGTGATCTAGTTCGAAGGAAGCCACAGGAATTCGAAGGGAAGACACCATGGGAAGCATATAGAACACAATTTGAGCTCTTGGCAGAAATGACTGGATGGACAGAGGAGCAGAAAGCAGTGTATCTGGCAACAAGCTTGAAAGGACAACCACTGGAAATACTTGGACAGTTGTCAGCAGACGACAGGCACAACTATAGAGAACTGGTAGCTGCTCTAGAACTCAGGTATGGAACTCAAAACCAGTCTGAAGTCTACAGGGCTATGTTTAGGATGTGAATACGTGCTAAAGGGGAGAGCCTGCAAGAGCTGGCACAGGATTTGGAAAGTATGGCACACAAGGCCCACCCAACTGCACCACTCGATGTCCTGAAGCTGTTGCTGAGGGGCCAGTTTGTAGAGGCCTTGGACAGTCCACAACTGAAGATACAAGTGAAGCAAGCACACCATTCTACTATGCAATATGCAATGGCCAGAGCTCTTGGATTCGAATCCTACGTTAAGTCCAGCATAGAAGTACAAAAGTTGGTACAGTCATCAGGATTCAAGACTAGAAAAGGGCAGCTCTCGGAGAAGTTTTAGGGACTGTAACAAACCTGGGCACAAGAGAGCTCAATGCCGGCAACTTCAACACAATAAAGATGCCACTGCAGGAAAGGCTGCTACCCAGAAAAGTTGTTGACACTGTGGAGAGCAAAGAGATATGAGGAGCCAATGTAAAAAGAATACTACCAATAAGTCAGCCTCGGGGAACCAGTAATGCTTGGTGTTGAGGGACGCTCATACAACCTCATTGTGAAAGTCCCAACAGCTAAGTGTAA